TTATACATGTATCAGAAATAGCTGAAATAGTGCTTCCTTTCTGAAAGAGTAATATTGTGATGCGCTAACGTTGTGCCTCTTTCTCAAAAGTAAAATGCGGACAAGCTAACGTCATGCCACTGTAATGTCTAGCTTAAGTTATGCTAACGTCGTGCCTATGACATAAGTAAATGTTAAGTTATGCTAACGTAGTGCCCATGGTTTAATCAGTTATTTTAACAGACTTCAAAAAGGAGGAGGTTCTTAGTTCGAATGTGTTTTTTATGTATGTTCAGCATATCAAACTAGATAAGACACATCATTTTATTCTATTACACGGATCTTGACTAAACTAAACAGACCGATCTCTTAATGAATGTGGCGAGACTTATGCAATTTTAATACAGCTCGCAATTAAGAAGCGATTGAGCGAAACTAGAACTCCACAGTCTTTGCCAGAGATATGTCAGAAAGAGTAAACTTCCGAAGCTGAAGACTCTCGAAAGGTTCTCGAGTGGCAGCCTCGTACCGGCAGGCCAAGTATAGGGTGTCCCCCACTAGATGGAGTGACGAACTAGTAAGACATGCAGGAAGTCAAAGGATTCAGGTGGCTCGGGACCGTGCTTTGTTGCTTTCCTTGGGGGAGGCCTATTTCAGCAGTGGACTTGTGAAGGGCTGTAATGCTGACGATGCGGATCTTAGGAAATTGATTTTCGACATCTTTAATATAATAGTGTTAAGAATTAGGGTAAAACAATAAAAGGAAATACGAAGAATTCAAGGTAGAACTGTAATCTCCCACTCGTTCTGGCAATATAAAGTATCGCACAAACGACTAAGAGGGATCAGTCAGTAGTTCTACGAGCCTCACTTTCGTTACTATGCCCGTTGGGGTATTCTACTATTGTAGGCAAAGAAGATCGTGTCAATCACGTGAAACAGCGCATCAAAGAGTTTAGACATGACAAGTGGGATAATCTTCTTGAAGATATCGTGCCATCTCAAACTGCCTTCTGGCAGTTGACCCAAGTTGACCAGAACAATACTAAACTATGCCGCATCTCGTCAGGCCAGGAAACCCCGATCTCGCCTTTGACGATTCAGAAAAGGCCGAATGCCTCGCGGACAGTTTAGAGAGCCAATGAGGGAGGACATTGGCTGTCTAAACTGTCCGATCGAAGCGATCTTACAGATCCTCACCTTGCAGAGGTCGAAGCGGTGGTTGAGCGTAAGTCTGCACTACCACTTGCGGGTGTCCCCTTAGATCCTGTGACTGCCGACGAAGTCACAGAAGTAATCAAAAGCTTTAAAAAGAAATCAGCACCCGGCCCCGATGGCATTAGCAACAAGGTATTGAAATCTCACTCCACGCCGCTCGTTTGCCTCCTAGTAGATATATTCAACGCTCTTCTTTCCAGCTGGTCCTTCCCTGATGCATGGAAAGAAGCAGCTGTCTAATAGGAATCCCGAAAACAGGGAAACCGTGCAACTTGGCGTCAAGTTACTGACCAATTAGTATCTTCAGCATACTGGGGAAAGTTTACGATCAACTCATATTGAATCACCGTCGTAAACACGTCTTCACCAATAAACTTCCTCCAGACGAGCTGTTCGGCTTCAGACCCAAACACTCGTGCACCGACCAATTACATCGCCTCACAGAATACATTCTGAAAGGATTCAACCTCCCACAAAGAAGTCACAGAACCACTATTACCGGTGCCGTCTTCTTCGATGTCGTGAAAGTGTTTGACAAAGTCTGGCACGACAGCTTGCTTTACAAGCTATATAAAATCAACGTGCCTAATAGGCTCACCCACATCATCAGAGCCTTTCCTGCAAATCGCAACTTCCGCTATCGAATAGAGGATACTCGCTCCACAATGCGCCTCATCAAGGCTGGAGTCCCATAAGGCTCCGTTCTCTCCCCACTACTCTTCGCACTCTTCACGAGTGACATCCCGAAAGATTCAGTAGTGAATACAGCTCTTTTCGCCGATGACACGACACTTTTCGTCGCCCATCACAATAAAAGAATCCTAACCGAGAAGCTCCAAATAGCAGTCAACCGCTTAGGCGATTGGTTCCGCTTATGGAATCGACGTAAATTTTGAGAAAAGTGTAGAAATACACTTTCAAAGGATCTCCACTTCTAATCGTCAAATCAGAAAGTCCAAGAAATCGTTAGGTACGATCACCCTATACGGCCAACAGATCCCCTGACAACCCACGGCCCATATTTAGGAGTCACATTTGATGAAGGTATGACATTTGCGAAACATATTCGTAATGTTCGCAACCGAGCCAAAATCGTTACTAGTCGCCTCCACCCGCTAGTTAATAGAAAGAGCAAACTATCCTTAAGACACAAGTTACATCTGTATAAAGCATGCGTAAGACCTATCATGTCTTACGCCAGCGTAGTTTTCGCGCACACGGCCTGTAAACACTTGTACGACCTCCAAGTCGTCCAAAATAGATTCATTCGCATAGCCACCGGAGCCCGGTGGTACCAGTGAAACTCCGACTTGTACAGAGATTGTCAACTTCCAACGATCTCTGAGTATCAAGGAAATGTCTCGGCGCTATTTCGAGAGAGCCGAGACACATCCGAACCCGCTAGTGGTAATTTAAGCCACATACGCTCCGACTCCGAACTTCACGGAAAGCCTTTAGAGGCCCCGTAACGTCCTAATTGAACCCCCCGTTCCGCTAGATGCCGAAAACACAAATGTCGCCGGCCGTTCACACACAAACACTACACACTCACCCATTGCCACAAACACAGTTACGACAACAACTGATGGGACGCAGCGAGTTCATAGACGGGTGCGCTGCATTCCACTCTACACCGCGTAACTACATACACCCACGTCCCTGGGCGGTTCGCACCGCCCAGAACATTTAACGATACGAGTTAGCAGTCAGAGCCTGGGCCCGTCACCGCCTGTTGTCCGAACAGGGGGTGACGTGCCCCGGCCGTTAGATAACTCATTTACGTGCGCTGTAAACTATCCTAGGAGGCGTCGTTACGCAAGCTATGACGCAGAATAATAAAAATTCACCCCTTCTTAGCTAAATCCGATGATTCTGTATAAGCCAAAAGGCTAACAGCACAAACGTCATCAGAAACCAGAAGATCGTGTTTCTGAGAGGCTGCCCTATGTTACATTGAGATGGCTAGTGTTGCTGTTGTCTTGCATACTTTGATGTTATCACGTAATTATGTCCTCCTTCATGTTACACCAGTGTGTGATACAATCACATAAATGGGGATATATTACGGTTGGTTGAACTGTATTTGCTCTATACTGAATGTATAATGTAGTATACGTTGTGTTATTCAGTTAAGCAAGAGAGCAAGTTGAACATCCGCTCTCACACTTTTATTATTTTTAACAACTAACCTCCAGAATAAATTCATAGAATAGTAAAGAAAGTTCGTTACTACCGAATAATATTATCTTATTTAATTAATTTTGAGAACAATTTCTAACATCAGAAACTGGATAAAGTCCCTGTATCGCTTACATATAATCTTCGAATATTCTTGGTGAAAGACTATGATGCACCTCGTGTTTTGTTTTTCTATTTACGACATTGACGAATCGTTGTGTAGATTAAAAGCTTAAAGTGAATTGTTTTAAGTTCAAAGTTAAATCTTTTGTTTGATTTTATTATGTTCGTAAAAAACTTTAATGCGCCTCGCAGAGATGCATTTGTTTTTACGTTAAATTTAGTGATGAAATTTGCTGTTCTATTTACGACATTAACGTACCATTAAAGTGTAAAGTAAATTTTTAAAGTGAAATGTTTTAAGCAAAAACTTAAATCTTATTGGTTGATTTATATTAAAGGTACCCAATTAAAGACAAAAAAAATTAAAGGCAAGTACTTTTACTAGTCGTTAACGTACCGAAATATGTAAACAAATGTTGAAAGAAATATTGAAAAAAGGTATCTAAATGAGTTATAATTTTGTATTCAGTGGAAATTTAAACTGCTCGAGTTATATTATATTGTGATAGTTCATGCGATTGTATGATTTACATGGGCTATATTTAAAGTTCAAAATATTTAAGCGATGTACTAAAAAAAATAAGAAGCCATGTTAGAGTTTACTTTGAATATTATGTAGTTGACAAAATTGGGGTTTGATGTCGAGAGGTTCATGGAAGTCGCTACAACAATGATCAATGAGGAAGACGGCGGACGTGGTAAGGTGCGGCCGAGCCCTGGTAAGATTGAGGCTACACCGCTACAACCTGCAACTTCTCGGTGGATCTCGCGGCAAGGCAACTCAAGCGTGACCTTGACGTTATACGTGGTAGAGCCATGCTGCAGCTGTATTATGGTTGTAGCACGAATGGGTCGGCTCGACCGGGGAAGGACCACGCTCCCACAGAATACCAGCGTAAAATAGCAGCTTAATTCTGCTGTGTTTCGTATGGTGAGTGTAGAGAACCGCAGACCCTTTTTACTGGAAAAGAGGCATTCCATCTTAGTCCTCAAGGCTGACAACGCATCTGCATTTTATTCGCAAACGAGGATGGATGTAGATTGTCTATGGGCCACAGCAACCACTTACCATCAGGTGGACTGTGTGCTCGTTTGTCACCCTATTTCTATAAAAAAAATTAAAAAAACCTACATATATAAATTTGGAAAAAATCTCACCCCTTTTTTTTTTTTTTTTTTTTTTTTTTTTTTTTTTTTTTTTTTTTTTTTGCGGATGGAAAATCATCTAATGACGCCTTTCGCTGTGGGTGGAGCGGAAGGGAGTGTCAGACTTTTACTGACTAAAAACCATCCGTGTTCCTTCAGTGCCCTTACGTTCCGGAGCCGCGGTATCTCTTTCGAACAGCCCGCAGCCCCGGCAGGCGTCGGCCCTTGCGGGCCCCTTCACGCTGCTGACAGCTCTTTGAGGCGCGCGTGGAACAAAACGCGCCGTCGACACGGCCTGTCGTCGTTAGACGGACGGACGGCGAGCTACCCATTGCTCGCCGTCCACAGGCCCGCGCCTACGGTGGTCGGGGGCCACGACGTAGCCCCCGACGCCCGGGGCGTCTCCCGCGGCGGCCGGGAAGGAAAGCTGTTGCTCTTTCCCTCTCCCGCTCCGCCACCTCCTTCGCTAGCATCACTGCTTCGCAGAAGGTGGTGACGGCATCCCATTCCGTCTCGCTCCGGACCATGGCTTCGACCAGAGCCGGACGCGAGAGGTCGCCGCCGCCTATCGCCGCTACGAGGACACGGCGGTGCTCCGCCCAAGCAGAGCACACCTCCACGGTGTGCTCCACCGTGTCCTCCGGTCGATCCTCGCAGTGGGAGCACCCGGGCGTTTCCTCCCGCCCGATTCGGTGCAGGAACCTCCCGAACACACCGTGTCCGGTGAGGACCTGCGTCAGGCGGAAGGTGAGGACGCCGTGGCGTCTCTCAAGCCACTCCTCAAAGAGGGGTCTTATCGCCGCTATAGTGGCGTGCCCAGCACGGGGTTGCGACAGTCGCTCTCTCCATGTCGCCATGAGATCATGCCGGAAGTCTGTCCGCTGCGCGACAACTTGCCGCGGCAGCGGGGTTTCCCCCCGGCATAGTGCTGCCGCGCGCCATTCGTGCAGGCGCGCGAGGACTATCGCCTCCAGATCCCATGGCGGCAATCCGGCAAGGAGGCTCGCCGCCTCGCGGGAGATCGTGCGGTAGCCGCGAACCATCTTTACGGCAACCACCCTTTGGGGCGCGTTTAGGTGGTGGACGGCAAGCCGCGCCAAACCACGCGCCCACACCGGGGCCCCGTAAAGGGCCATGGACCTCACGATCCCCGCGTAGAGCCTCCGGCAGGAGGCGTTTGGCCCCCCCAGGTTCGGCAGGAGCCGCCTGAAGGCAGCCCCGGTCCGTTCCAGTTTGGGAGCCAAACGTCGGAAGTGCTCAACGAAGTTCCATCGGCCGTCGAGGACGAGTCCTAGGTACTTCAACGTCGACTCGACGCCGATGGATACCCCTCCTACCATCACTGAGGATCCCGGTGGTGGCCTGTTCCGAGGACCATGGAAGTGCATGGCCTCGGACTTGTGCAGAGCCACCTCGAGACCCAGTTGCCGGATCCTCTCAACGACTATCGCAACCCCGCGTGTCATAGTTTCCGCAGCCGCCTCGTACGACCCCCCTTGTGCCAGTACCAGCGTGTCGTCAGCGTAGCAAACTACGCTGACGCCGGTAGGGAGGTCGGCGCGCAGCACCCAGTCGTAACCGATGTTCCACAGGGGCGGCCCCAGAACCGAACCCTGTGGGACACCGCACGACATCTCTCGCCGGTTCCGCTCTCCGTTTCGACCGGGGTAGATGACGGCCCTGTCCGTCAGATAGTCCCCGACTATACGACGGAGATAGGTCGGCACCCGGTGATACCGGAGTGCCTCCCTAATGCAGCTCCAGGGCATGGAGTTGAAGGCGTTGGCGATGTCGAGAGACACCGCCAAGACAACCCCCCCCCTGGCCACTGCATCCCCCGTCGTGAGGGCTCTCACGCGCATGATGGCGTCCACCGTAGAGCGCCTCTTGCGGAAACCAAACTGGTGTTCCGCAAGATCCGGCCCCGTCCCCGCAAGGTGCTCGGCGAGGCGGTTTGCAATTACTCTTTCAAAGAGCTTGCCCACCTCGTCGAGCAGCACCACGGGCCGGTATGCGGACGGAGAGTCCGCAGGGCGCCCCGGCTTCCGAATGAGGACCAGCTTCCCCGTCTTCCAACGAAGCGGGAATTGGCCTCTCTCCAAGCATGCGCTTAGGAGCCCCTCCAGTCGGGGCCCGAGAGCCTCCGAGGCCAGGACCCAGGCTTTGCCAGGCAAGCCATCGGGTCCTGGGGCGGTATTCCTGGCCTTGAGCCTACGTACCGCCACTCTCAGGTCTACCCCGGTCCCTTCCGGGATGTCGTCGTCGTCGTCCTGGTGGTCCGCTTCCGGCACCGCAGGTGGCGGAGCCATAGGCGGGGGCGGATGTTCCCCGCGCGCAGGGAACAGAGCGCTCACCACATCCTCCACGAGCTGAGGCCGGAGACTCTGCGTCAGCGGGGGGGCCCAGGTGCGGAGTTTATCCCGCACGATCTTGTAAGGGCGCCCCCACGGATCTCTATCGAGAGTCTCCAGCATCTCCTCACGGGCCCGATCCCGGGCCCGCAGGACAGCCTCCCGGAGGGCGGTCTTTGCCGCTCTGTATCCCTCGTACAGCTCCGCCTCAATGGCTGCCGCATTCGGTGGACGAATGCGGAGCCTGCGATGCCTGGCGTACAGGTGCCGCGCGGCGACACACGCCTCGCGCAGAGACGTCAGCTCACGCGACCACCAATACACCTGACGCCGGGCGCTTCCTGGCCGGACGCGGGGCATTGCCACGTCACATATCTCGGACATGGCCTCCTGGAACCACCCTGCCTCATCATTGACGTCGGCAGGCCTGTCCGGTGATGACACCCAGGCCTGCACGATCGAGGCTTCCAGGAGGAGCTCCCGGTCCAGCTGCTTCAGCGCCCAACGCGGACCACTCGGGGTCTGTTGGACTGGCGCGAAAAATCTCACCCCTAAGGGTAGCAAATAAATAAATTCTTTATTAGAAATTTGAAGTCGGATTTTACTTTTTGTTTAAAGTTATAATTATGTTGTGCTAACTTTATTGGATTTTAGACTAGCTATTTAACGTTATATTTGTTACGTATACGTAATATATACAAATATCATTCGTGTTACTCAAGCTCATCTCTCAAGATATTTTTCACCTTGGATGTGTTGTACTTACAACACTGGTGAAAGGAGTCGCAAGTGTTACCTATGGACTCTTATGCGATACACTTTGCTGAACTTTGATAATACTATCATTGCATCGACTGCCCCGAGCTCCTTTAGCCCAGCCCTTGGATTCGTGGTTAAACCGCCAAACCAAGTATACAACTTACAACATATTAGTGTGATGTAAAATAATAAATACGACTTAATGTGAATGAAACGAGTGATTTAAAAAATTCGACAGTAAAGCCCAACCTCTCCGCTTTGCGTCCGAGGTGTAAGGTTTCTACTATGACTATTTAAACAACATTCTAGTTATTACTTTGAGCTTGTAAAATTCCTAAGTCCGCTCAGAAGAATTGAAAAATTAAATATTTAATGAAAAGTAAAATCTGACCACAAAGAAATAAAAATAAAAAATTACTTCCACATAACAGCTTTTAAAGTCAGGGCTTTAATGCTTCTATACACTATGTCTTAACAACGACTATATATATACATAATACATAAACACTCACACCTGTCAGCCAAAGAGATAGGCATAGACTACGGACTTACATTTGGCACAATCCTGGCACACTTCTCTCGCCCCTTGACATCCATATACCTACTCATACATGCTCGTCGGTTAAGGGGTACTCTTAATTTGGCCCATTTTTAATATATCGCCAATTTGGCCGATAAACTTTCGCCTAGGGCGTCCCTTCCCGACCCTGCTGTTCACTTCTGCAGCATAAATTTGCTTTTTCACTATTTCGTCATTCATTCTTTCTACATGAGCAAATCACCGAAGCATTTCTTTCTTAATCCTGGTCACAATACCATCTTGCAAACCACACCTTTCTCTTATCACACAATTTCTCACTCGGTCATTCAGATTCAGCCCTAACATACTCCTTAATGACCGCATTTCTACAGCATTTATTCTATTCTTGTGTTTCTTCTGTCACCAACTTTCACTACCATACATTAAAGTAGGGACTAACACAGCTCTGTGAATTGCCATACGTGCCTTTTTGGACACATTCCGACTTTTTGCAAGTCCCATTTACTCTATTTTTCTGCGTTCACTCATCGTTATATATCCTTATCATATCTCTGCTAAATACACATCCCAAATACAGAAAGTCATCTACTTGCTCGACCAACTCCCCTTCTATTCTTATTTCACATATCGTTTTACTTTCTACTTTTTCATAAATCATATCTTTCGTCTTACTTGCATTCACTTTCATTCCCCTTTCTTTTAATGACCTGTTCATTAATGTAACCAACATTTGCAACTCGGCCGCCGACAAGGCCAATATGACTTGATTATCGGCGTACAAAAGGCATTTGACGGTTAACTCACCCATATTTAGCCCGCATTCTTCAACTTACAAATTTTCCAAACAACTGTCTATAAATAGCATGAACAGGCACGGGGAAGCCACACAGCCCTGTCTGACACCTTTGTGGATGCCAAACAAGTTAAAGTAGGCCTTGTTGATGCTGACACAAGCACTGGTCCCCATAAAGAGACTTTAAAGCTCTATCAACCCAGCGCTCAATCCAAATGAGTTCAGCTTACTCCAAGTCCACGAACGCACAAAAAACTTTTTGGTTTTTGGCAAAATTTGTGATCATGCGCATGGAAAAGACCTGATCCGTACACCCCATTCCCTTTCTAAATCCCGCTTGTACATACAAAAGAAACTGATGGAAAAAATTGGGATTTACAAGCGACTATATCTAAGGGATATTTAAAGTAAGTTAATGCTACAGTCTAACAGGCTTATTTTGCAACAACTGGCCAAATTTGCAGAGATGATTCAGAATAATTAATGTAGTCAAATGGTGAAGAAAAAATAATTAAAAACAAACTCAAACATTCTGTCCTTTTTCTACCGTCTTCAAAAAGGAGACGGTACTCAATTCGTTTATATATTTTTTATGTGTGTATTTTCGGGGTAAACTGATTTCGATGATTCTTTTTTTATTTGAAAGCTGGTGCTTCTCATGTTGTCTCACATAAATTTGATCAAGGTCTGACCAATCGTTTTTGAGTTATTCTTAATAATTTATATTGAAGTCGGTTGTACAAAATTTTTAATTTTAAATTATATCTTTTAAATTCAAATTGCATAGTAATGCATTATTTTAACCGATTTTACTGCAAACGCACACATTTTTTAGGGTCGATCGGTAGGCAAAAACGTTGTAGCCCATAAATCACATTCAACTTGAGATAATTTCAAATAAAACTAGAAGTCTTATTTACACGTATTTTCAAAAACTGCTATAATGGATTTACATTATTTATATACATAACATAAAATATAATACATAAACACTCACGCCTGTCACACAGAGGGGTAGGCAGAGATTATGGACTTCCATTTTGCACGATCCTGACACACCTCTCTCGCTTCCTCCACATCCATATACCTACGCATACACGCTCGTCGGTTAAAGATACTCTTGATTTGGCCCATTTTTAATATATCGCCAATTTGGTTGATAAACTTTCGCCTAGGGCGACCCTTCCCGACTATGTCGTTCACCTCTGCAACATAAATTTGCTTTGTCACTCTTTCCTCATTCATTCTTTCTACATGGCCAAACCACCGAAGCATTCCTTTTTTAATCCTGGTCACAACATCATCTTGCAAACCACACTCTTCTCTTATTAAACAATTTCTCACTCTGTCATTCGGATTCATCCCTAACATACTCCTTAATGACCGCATTTCTACAGCATTTATTCTACTCTCGTGCTTCTTCTGCCACACCCAACTTTTACTACCATACATTAAAGTAGGTACTAACACAGCATTGTGAATTGCCATACGTGCCTTTTTGGACACATTCTGACTTTTCACAATAGAGTGCAGAGCCCCATTCACTCTATTTCCTGCATTCACTCGTCGTTCTATATCCTTATCATATCTACCATCCCTGCTAAACACACATCCCAAATATACAAACTCATCTACTTGCTCTACCAACTCCCCTTCTATTCTTATTTCACATATCGTTTTACTTTCTTCTTTTTCAAAAACTATAACTTTCGTCTTACTTGCATTCACTTTCATTCCCTTTTCTTTTAATGTCCTGTTCATTAATGTAACCATCATTTGCAACTCGGCTGCCGACGACGCAAGTATGACTTGATCATCGGCGTACAAAAGGCATTAACTCACCCATTCTTAACCCGCATTCTTCTACTTTCAAATTTTCCAAACAACTGTCCATAAATAGGTTGAACAACCACGGGAAAGCCACACAGCCCTGTCTGACACCTTTATGGATGCCAAACCAGTCCAAGTAGGCCCCGTTGATCCTGATACAAGCACTAGAGTCCCTTTATAGAGACTTCAATGCCTGTATCAGACCAGCGCTCAACCCAAATGAGTTCAGTGTTTGCCATAACACATCCCTGTCCACTCTGTCATAAGCCTTCTCCAAGTCCATGAACCCACAAAAAACTTTTTGGTTTTTGGCCAAAACCTTCTCCGCGATCATGCGCATGGAAAAGATCTGATCCGTACATCCCATTCCCTTTCTAAATCCCGCTTGCACATCCCAAATTTTTCCATCAGTTTCTTTCATAACTCTTTCAATTAGTACCTTAGCATACAGTTTTCCCACAATGCTAAGAAGGCTGATACCACGGTAGTTTTTACAGTCCTGCTGTGATCCTTTTACCTTATATATTGGGACTGTCACGGTTTTGCACCAGTCTCCCGGTACCCGCTTAAGTTCCCAACATAAATAAAACAAGGTGTACAGCAGGTCTGCCACCACTCCTTCTCCAGCCCTTAGCATTTCGAGAGATACTCTATCATAACCGGCTGCCTTACCTGCTTTCATACTTTTCAATGCTTTCATTATTTCATCTATACTTATATCTCTATCTATTTCCTCTTCTTTCGGAATTTCTATTTCATTTAATTCAAACGTCTCATCCCTCATAAACACGCTTTCAAAGTATTCCTTCCATCTCCTTAAACTCAAAACTTCGTCATTCAGAATACAGCCATTCTGGTCTCGTATAGCATTCATTCTAGGCTGTTTTGAATGTCCTCTGG